GATTAACAATTGCTATTCATTGAAACAAACTTAGGAGCCTTTAGCTTCTACTACTAAAGGTCTAAAGTGATGAATCACTCACTGACTCTCAGATGGCTGGAATTCACAGTTGGTTTCAGAATAGAATTAACAGTTCTGGTTGTTAGGGAGTTTGTGTTATCTACAGAAATGAGGCAGGGGAAGTCTCCTTTACTGAAAAAAAAAAAAAAAATAGGAGAAGGTAATGTTAAAGAGGTACTTAAAGTTATAAGTTATACTGCAAATGGACAGCATTCTAGCAGAAGGTACACTGTCATTGGGAAGAGGCGGAAGGAATCCTAAAGCTCTGCTTTCTAAAGAACCGCTCCCTTTACTGGAGGCTGAAGTGTGAGCTACTTTCATATAAATTCACTTAATTACTTCAACGTTTCTAAGTCTTTAAGACAAAAACTTTATATGTGACATCACATTATACCACACTCAGAGCTTCTATTTAGATGTGTTTAGACACTTGTACATTTGTCATGCTGGCTTTTTTAAATGAAGCTATTTAACTTTCTTGGCTCATTTTAAAATGTTTTCTTCCTCTGCTTTAAAACCCACTACATCGCTTTCTAAATTTTAGCATTATGTGTCTACACATAATGGGGCACAGACTGATGATAGCTTCATATCCATACTGAAATCATCTTTCATGCAAATTTGTTAGGAATGGAAATGTTCAGAACCACAAGCTTCATCCATTTTGTGAAAGACCAAGGCAAAAACTTGTGCACCGCTAAGCTCTCAGAATAGGAATGAGAGATATGGAGATGGATGCTGACTATCTGTGCTTAAGTGAAAGTCACACCTCTTAAGAAAGCAAAACCTGGAATTAACAAAATTCTACTTAATTCTTGAAGCTTCTCTCCCCTCTCTGCCCTAGATGGCCCATGCAGCTGGAAGCACACAACACTGCAAGGTTTTCACAAAGCAATCAGCAGAAGCCTCTCAATTTCAAAGGCACAATTCATGTCCCTCAAGTACAGCAGAATTATACAAGAAGTATTTCAATTCATGTGCTCTAAAAGTTACTTTCCTGCAATTCCCATATGGTACTGAAGGCTCAGAACCGAAGCTGAAACAAAAATGCACATTACCTCCTTCTTCCTCAATCATCTCTCAACCCACTGAGACAGTAACAAAGCCATTTTCTTCTTCTCTTTCCCCTTTCCTCCCCCATACATCCGTACCTTCTCCCAGCTGCTTCTGTTTGCTTTCACACAGTTTATGGTCATCCCACTTTTAAAGTCTCTCCACGACATATGTTACGTATAATCACTGGGAAAGGAAGGTGATTCAGTAAGGTTCCTGTCTGCTGTCTAGTGAAGCTCTTTCATGCTCTCTGCTGTGACTATACAGGCAGACTAGCTCAATTTAGCATAATGTTTGGTGCTATGAGTGGTCTCCCAAGCAAAAGCTCCTATCTCAGAACATCTACCATAATAATGTTTTTAAAGATGCTCAAGAATGCACCAGTTACAACTTGAATTAAACCATAAATGGAAGGTGAAGTTAATTTCATTGGCTACAACGTAATTGAGAAGTTTGGAAGCTGCTCTTTTAAAAGCAATCTGTTAAGAAGCCTCCAGCAGACAATGCTGGCTGATAAACCCCGCTGATCTCTATAGTCTTCGTGTTGATTTACAAATTACTGTTAAATTACTGACCACGTGCGTCCAGAGGTACATGCCCCAGTACTACACTGGAAACCTATTTCACAAACCTCATTCAGAATTACGGTAATTCCAATCCAAATTTACCGCAGTATCCTATTGCATTTATTGCATTAATTTCTTAAGTCACATAAAATAGGACACCCTGACCCAAGAAAAATGGGGGAAACAAAATTAGATTAGCAAGTCAACAAAAAATTTCATTGCTAGATTCCATGTGCAAGTCTTTGACAGAGAAGTGACTTGAGTTTGCTCACTCATGCTCTCTCTCTGTGCTTTAAATATTTAAGACCAGCAAGTTTTACTCAAATTGAAGGAAACTTCAAGGCATTTGGCACCTAAATTTGTGAGACCGGCTTTAAAACCCCAGACACGGATTCTATAGTGTTAAGGGAGAGAAGGCCTCACTCTTGTATTTGGGTGTTCCTTGCATGATGCTTGCGTTCACTTAAATGTTTACATTCAAATTTACTTATCCAGTTGTCAGTCTTACAATTTGCAACTTATGTGTAGTCAGTTTACTCACTCCAAATGTTTCAGTAGTGAAGCGATGGAGCAGACTCCTTCCTCCCTCCCTCGGAAGGAGTTTGCTTTAACACAGACCAAGTGAACTAACTATAAAAGTGAAACTTCTCTGTAGCGTATGCGCTCCGAAGCCTCGCTGATGCCCACAGTAACTGCACGTGGATATTTAAAATGTATTATTTTTCACTGAGTGAATTTATACATTATGCCTATTTTTCTACCCTAGTGTGAGAAATGTCTCTTGAGCATGTGATAAACACCTGTTCTTTTGTCTGACTGACTCTAAGCATAACACAAGCATAGAGAAAATGGTCAGTGAACGAAAAAATAATTGCAGCCCGTAAAAGCAGTAGCAGCAGAGCTGACTAACACGAGACAGCATCAGGCTTCTTGTGCAAACTGAAGATATGCTTTTCGCATGCAGCTCTCAATTACACAGATGCTATCTTCCAGAGAAAAGGTCTTGTTGGAGAAGACTTGTACTGTTAAACACATTTGAGGAGTCCCGTTCTTGGACAAGGATGAAAAATCCCTCCTTATCAGGTAAGCCAACGTGCCTCCGAGCACACGCACGTTCACAGCGGGGAGAGGTCTGCCTAGACAGTGTCGTGCGTGCAGCAACACACTGCATCGTCGTTTAAACATTGTGAAGGGTTTGGGGTACCTGGGATGCGGCCAAGGGCGAAGCACAAACCTCTGTTTCCCTCACCCCAGCCCAGCGAGGTTCGGAGAGTCCCTAGATCTTGCTGACGTGAAAGGAAGGTAAGAACTCCCACTAGGTCACAGGAAGGAGACCTCGGCTACAGCAAACATCATCGAGCCACTCAAGTTCAAGATCAATTTAGCATGGGCCTCCATTAAACTATACAGTCAGAGCCCTTTGCCAAAAACAGCGTTAAAAGTGAAGGGGTTTTTCTACAGTTCTAATATTTACAATTATTGGTACATATGTACATATTTATACATTTATTCATACCTGGACAATGTGATGTTAAAGGGATAATTTATAATTTACAAATGAAACATTTTAAAAATGTATAATTATACCATGAAAGAAACTTTTTTTTATTGCTTGCCTTCCAGCCTTATGCTCATAATCACACTATTGCACACATCTCCATGTTACATGGAAGATCTACATTTATATATAAATATATATGAAAATAAGGATATTTTTATTTTAATGTTCCAAGTAAAGTGCTCATTTTTTAACTACTGTTGATGAGAAAGGTTTAATCTGACGGTTTAATTAGAGGGACTCAAGGGATACACACCTTGTCCATGCTTCTCCCTTTCATTTATAACTTACGAAATATCTTTTTACTGATGTCAACTCTGTCTTAACTATTAATTCTATTCATAATATGTATTTGTGACCTTGGCATCTATACTGTCACACAAAGTACAAAACAGAATCACATTAAAAGCAAAGAAAAAGCAAGAAAATAAAACAGCAAATGAAAGCAGTGTTTCTCTTTGTTGTTTTTAGCACATTTCCATGTCTTAAGATACTCTTTTATTTGAGTTTAGAAATATTTGTACAACTTTGTTAAACTCTGAACATACCTATTTTATGCACTATACTCAAGTACTGTACAAAACTGCAATAAATGACACTATACGACTACATATGTCTCTACTAGAAGACATCATCATAAAGGTGTATCTTTTTTTAAAGGTCAACTAATAACTGCTAATGTATGTGTGAATCAAAATAGTTTTGATTGGCCAAGTATACTAAATTCTAAATACAGTACACAATTATCACTCATGTCATGATTTACCAGGCCTTTAGGGTCATAAAGAATCTTTGCAAAGGCTCAGATGAAAAACAATTTTACTGATCAGTATTAAATGTTCATATAAAATTCCAAATGGCAGCTCCAATTTTGTTATATTTGTGTATATGAAATACAGTTGATACCTACTGATGATGCATGACCTTTTATTAAAAAAATAACATTCAAATCTTAGCAAAACCATTTCTAGTATACAAAGTTGTTGTAAAGTTATGTCAGCGAAATGTAAAGTTGCAATTTACAAAAGCAGCAGTAAATTTTATTATATGGACAATTTCCTGAACTTAAATCGTGGTTCTTGTTTCCTTTGAAAACAATGCTTTCTGGGACAAATACAGGTAAATATTTTGATGGTGAGTTTTAGGATAACACTATGCAAGGAAAAAGAGTGTATTATATTACTAATATACTTAACCCTGAAAAATTTCCGAGTGCTTTTATGAACCTGACAAGAATCCAATTAAGAACAAAATCAAAAAGCAAAAAATTCCAACTTTGCTGAACCAGACAGCCTGGCTTAGCAACATCAAATAAATAAACCAGTGAAAAGAGTAAGAGTTTCACTAGTGGAAGTTGATTGATATTGGAAATCTGATTAACACTTACTTTTCCCTGAAATCAATTAGAAGAGTTTATTAACAACTTCAAACAGGACAGAAGTAAGAAACTCGTGGCTTTTGCCATATAGTAGTCTTTACTACCTCTTCAGCCTATCCAGAATGTTTGCGAACAGTAGAACTGCACGACCTCCATACTCTGTTATGTACATGGGTACTGCTATTGTATGAAACAATTACACCTTTTTAAAAAAATCACTTTTTTAAATGACAGTTTATTTCATTAAAGTAGATTTAGTTACTTTATAGAAAAATATTTTAACTTTAAATTAAAAAAATACTGTTCCTAAATAATTATGTAGGATCATATCTTCATTTCATTGTACGGAGAGAATATAATTCTGTATATTTGAATCCTAGTTTAACAGAACTCCCCTGGGTATAACTTTTAAAGAGCTGGCTATGTTTGCCATGGGTGCTATCTGTTTACAGACCCATGAATTAACACTGTGTCCCTCCTTTGGAGATACACAGATAAGACATCTATATACACTCTGTACATAATGGTTCACAGATTAGCAGTTATTAGTCGTACTGTACATAGCGAACAACCTATCTGATTAGAATGATGCTTTAAGTCCTCAGTGCAATTCAGCTTTTAGGTTGATGGCGCAAAGCCAAGTAAGACAGGCTCCCTGTTTAAATATGTAGCCCAATACACTAAATTAAAAGTACCAAATAAGACTGGAAACACTATTCTAGACATTCTGTCAATTTTGCTAACGCTGTTGAATGTCTTCTTTGCTTCCTGTGGCTTCGCTTCTGGTTTTGCCTTGTTGGGTTCTGCAGTTGTAGCGCTCTTGGAGATGGTTGGTAGCACTGAGTCCTTGGTAATATTTGGAGCATAGTTGGCCACAGCCACTGCATAGGCATTGTTTTTCTTAATGACAGACGCTTTTTCTTTTTTCTATTGGAAGACAGCATGAAGTTAAATATTTAATGTGTATTTGCCAGAATAGACTTAATAAAACATAATTTCTAATGCAAAATAAACAAATGAGTACGTGTGAGTAAGTTAAAATAAATACCAGGAATACCATACTGAAGAATTCAAATATAAAGACAGACACTTCCAGTCTGTCCAAAGAGAAGGTACAGGTAACACAAGAATGCTCTAAAAACATGCAGTCTTGCGCCGTCAAATGCCCTACTGAAGTCATATAAGGAAGGCTCTGTTACGGCGATTGTTAAGGATAACTGGAAAAGATTGGTGCTACAATCTAGCTGCTTTGTATCTGGCGCCTTCTGCTTTGTACCTGGCTCCTTACAACAGAATTGCAAGATTCTTAAAACGTTCTCTGTTAAGAGAACTGAAGGAGTAAATGGGTGGACTGGAAAAAAAAAGGTTACCCAGCATTGTAATAAAATTAAAATTAGGCCATCTTTCCCACATAAATCTCAAATCCCTGTTATTCGAGCATCTCATAACATACCACCAATAAATAAAAGACTTTCAGTAATGATCTACACTTTTAAGAGATTCTAAACAAATATGTCTGTGTTTACATGTAAACATACATAGACGCACACACACACAGAGATCAGAAAGAGATTGCAATTAAGAGAAAGAAGGACTCCAGCATGGCAGTTGCAGAAGTGAGCTGAGAAATGGCCCAAGAACTATTTCTGGTTTTCAGAAATTATTATTTAAAAAACACATAACAGTGATGAAAATGGGGGTTAGAACCTAAAAAATAAACACAGGATAAGAAAAAAATAAACACAGGATCAGAAAAGTGGGAGTCTAGTGAAGGACCACAAAGATGATTTAAAGCCTGAAGCATCTGAAATATGAAAGGCTGAGAGACCTGGGACTGTTCACCCTCCTCAAGGAGGGGATCTTATCAATGTACAGAAATATCTGGTGGGAGAGAGTAGAGGACCAGACCAGACTCTTCTCAGTGATATCCAGTGAAAGGACAAGAGGCAATGGGCAAAAACTGAAATGCAGATTACTCCACTCAAACATAAAAAAACCCTGCTTTACTGTGAGCGTGACTGAGCACTGGAACAGTTTACCCAGAGAGGCTGTGGAGTCTCAATCCTTGGAGATATTAAAAAAACATCTGAACATAACCCTGAGCAACTATCCCTAGCTGACCCTGCTTGGAGTAAGGGGGTTGAAATAAATGATCTACAGAGGTCCCTTCCAACCTCAGCAATTCTGTGTTTTTATGGGATTGTGTATGCTTTCAAATGGCTAAAGTTCAGCCAAAGGCAGTACAATGGAGAGTCTATGACTATAGATAGAAACAGGTATGTATCCATCTATAGGACAAGAGGAAATGGCCTCAAGTTATGCCAGGGGAGGTTTAGGTTGGATATTAGGGAAAATTTCTTCACCAATAGGGTTATCCAGCATTGGAACAGGCTGCCCAGGGAAGTGGTGGAATCACCATCTCTGGAGGTATTTAAAAGACAGGTAGACAAGGTGCTGTGGGACATGGTTTAGTGGTGGTTTTGGCAGTGTTAGGTTGATGGTTGGACTCAGTGGTCTCAAAGGTCCCTTCCAACCCAGATGATTCTATGATTCTATGTATAGGTAATGAGTATAGGCTTGAGTTTTTAGACATATATACATTAGGTACACAGACTAGCTCTGCAGTAAGACTGTAATGCTATAAATTGCTTCACTGCTTTGCAGCAATCCCAAACTAAGGAACTTGTAATAACCTACAGGAATGAATGAAAGGATTTCAGTTTCTCAGGAAGCAAGGCTCTCCATATAGAATTTAGAAACAAGCAAACAAATACTAGATTCAGTCCATGCCTTCCACAAACTACGGAATTAAACAGATGAAGAAATGGTTAACTTCTGTCTCATATAAGGAATCATCAGCTGTTGTATTGGTTTGGTTTGATTTTTAAAATAATGGAAGTGGCACAAGTGAGGAAATTCTTGTGACACTTCCCATACAGGTGCATTACAATTTTTTACTTCCACTGGGAGGCATCTACCCAATTTCCAATTTTGGATTTAAATTAGCTCCAATTTGACATTTATCCGGGCCATCTACAAATCTTCATAAGATCTTCACGGTTAGATGTTGTGCCCCAAATACCTTGTCTCAGGACATGATGCCGCGTAGAAAGAAAATCTGGGAACAGGTGGGAATTCAGCACTGTTCCTTATTGACTGGAGTGTGAAAAAGGGCTGATGAAATATGTAGTTTGTCCCTGCACCTGCTTTCCTGAGACAAATTCCATGTTGACACCACTTAGATGGGAATTTCCATATAACATGAAAGCAGATGACTGTAACTGAGGACATTTTATTTGGTGAAGAGTAAGCCTGGCTTTAGGTCCACAGATGCATTTCACAAAAATAAGAGCAAATTACCAAACCAAATTACAAGAGGAACACTCTGATCAATAATTCCTTCCTTTCAGACACACTTAGTGTGTTTTTAAAAGGTACCTGTAATACCATTGATGAGACCTGCATAATAAAGATGAACCATATTTTTGTATGATAAACTATGAATATGTTAAAAGTTTAGGTTTTTGTTAAGCCAATTTGAAGAAAACAGAGAACTGGCCATGTCAGTGATACATAAATCTTAAAATGGAGTGGCTAATTTTGTCATTCCTTGGGAAAGAATACTACCTAGCTGTTAAATAGCTGCCACTTCTAAGATCATGCGACAACATTGTCATATTAATTTAAAGGAACAGCCAAAGGACAATCAGAGAGTTTATAAGGGTTCCCTACATTATTACAATGCCAGGGCAATGTGCCAGTCTGAAAAGCTTCACTCATGACATGCTGATAAACTTTTAGTGGTTCAGTATCTACTTCTAGGATGAGGGAACAGGTCCTGTAGCTATGGAGAGTTCGTGCCCTCCTGGAAGCCACAGGGTATTATAAACAGTGTACTCACTTCCTTTCGTTTTCCTTTACCATCAACTGAACATTTTGCTTCTTTATGCATAGTGATTTATGCATTCAAAGTAAGTGCTGAGAAACCACCAGTTAAACAAATTGCTTCATGTCCACTATTATCTAGGAAGGAAATAATATTCTATCCCATTTTAAGGAGAACCACAGAAATCAGAGTATTCTTTGTCAGAAGAAATCCTTTTCCATTGGTAGAATCAGGGACTGGGACAGGACAAAATTATATAATATAGTAACTCAGTCAAAACAAGTCAGCCTTCATGTTTGTTCTGTGTTATTAAAATTATAAACTGTAAAGCTTGACACAAATTTAGGCGTATCACCCGTGCACTTTGTTCACGAAATAAGAAATTCTATCAGGTTAAAATTTCTTCATGCTATCACACCTACACTACTATCAATACCAGAAAATTAAGGCATGACTGTATTTCTGTGCATTCAGAGCATCAATACATCATAGGAGAAGAGGTACTCAGAATTTTGTACAACTGCTATTTAAATTAATTTTAAAATTAATGTCTACATATCCTTAAGGATAAGTTTCAGGACACCAAAAATTTTCAAAACTTCTAGATTTTGTTATTAATAGGTTTTACATGTATGGGCATTCAGTTGTTTTTCTGATCTTAGTTACTGGGAAAATTAATATACATTATATCTTTCTCTAATCTTTTTCTTATTTCCAACCCAATTGGATGAAGTAATAATAAAGTGATCAACCAATATAATCTGGATTAAATTTTCTGAATAACCAGATAAACAGTTGTATCTGAGGAGTCAAGAAACAAGTCAGACGGTTCCCAACATGAAAAAACAATGTGTTTGAAAAGTAAATCTGGATTATAGAGACCAAGTGAGATTAGTTACATCAGGGCAGATATATTTTTGTTCAGGAAAGAAAATACATCTACATTCTTTTGATTTAAAGCATCGTGTATTATTTTTTTTAATATAGCCAATTATATCAAAATAGTATATTACAGCCATTTCAATGTAATTGACTAGAAATACGGCTATTTCCTTAGGACTTACCTTATCATTCACTACGCTTTTTCCATCCCAGGCCCATCCTCGTTTTGTGAAATAATTTACAGTTGCAAATTCAATTAATGCAGAGAATACAAACGCATAACAAACAGCAATAAACCAATCCATAGCTGTTGCATATGCTACTTTGGGGAGTGAATTTCGAGCACTGATGCTCAGTGTTGTCATTGTCAACACAGTTGTTACTCCTGCAAAGGGACAAAAAAAAAAAACAGAACATCAACAATTTTACTTGGAATTTGAATACTAACAAAAATACAAACCAAAAATTATTATGGTATGTTTGCGAAACACAATGGAAAATTTGCCTATCTAAGTTGGTGACAAACTCCCAGATCATATTAAAGGCTGCATCTAAAGTTCCCTTTGAAGCATTTTAGTTCAATTTTGTTGTCTAAACTTTCCTTGTTTAATCAGCTGAAAATTTTACTTACAGGAGATAGATCATATTTTATTTCTTTTTGTGGCTATCAGGACAGATAAGGGACAAAATTAACAATTCCTTAATGGAATCATGATATTTTGCAGCATTACATAATGATTAATGATAATAATGATTAATACGTTAGTGTTTGGCAGCTGGCTTCACTGCAATGGCCGCAGGTGTGGCACCCATCTTTACTGACAGTATCACATAAATTGACCTTTGTTATTAGAAATAATTAATTTTTTTTCCACAGTCTCACTAACTATCCAGCGACAGAGTTGAAGACATAAACAAGTTAAGTTTTCATTCAAGTAACATGGATTTTTTCTAGAACAGCGTATTGATTTGAAAAGCCAGATTATTATAAGTGTGTATTATGTATCAGAAAACAAGACTTAACGATCCAGGAAGATTGTTCTTTCACTGTGGCAATTATTTAAAGCACTTTACAGTCCTTTGTACATAATGAAGGCCCAGTAGGAAGCCAGGAATTATACTCAAAAAAATCACCAAAAAAAAGATGCATGGGAGGAAAGAAAGAGAAGAACATTTTCCTCAATCAGTTTTAGCGAGCAGAAACCCACAGCCACAAAGGCAGTCTCCATTCCTTAAGTAAATCAGTTCTCCCACCTCAGGCTGAATCACACTTAGACAAACTAAACTATTCCCTTTGTGGCACGCCATTAAATACGTCTCCAGAATGAAAAGCAACGCAAAGTGATGATATACTTAGCACAGATCAGCAAACCTACACTCCATTATGACAGGCAAAGGAGATGGCACGGCAGAAATATTAGTAACAGCACATCACAGCTTCAACAACCACACACTCACAAAATTGTTGTAAGAGGATTCCCAAGGGAAAGTAAAGTCACTCTCCCTAAGCCAGATCCTTCGCTGTCAGCAGTCTGTCACCTGGGTGCTGCAGGATCGACCTAGCTCAAATTTTCCTTCTGCTGCAAGAGAAGCATTTTTAACCACCGTGCGAGAGGGAAGAGAGGCAGCAATTACACCTACTCAGACCTCTTCAGGCTTTGCAATTTCCATCCCTCCTGTAAAGATTCTCCACCTCTGAGGGTGCTGCAAAGGATGTCACAGCAAAGCTAAGTGGACTCAGCCTCAGAGCTACTCTCCCTTGATGTGCTTCCAAAGGCCTGGGCAGCAGGGAAAACAAGGCACAGAAACACCCTGCTGAGTCACACACTTTCCAAACACCTTAGCAAACATAATTCTCCCATGGCTGTTTTTCAGCCTCCATAAATTAAAGAAGTGGATTTGGTCATGACACTGTTGGGATCCACCAGCCTATACAATGAAAACGAAGCAGCTATCATACTATATTGCATGCAAATGTGTAGATAAATATATTTTGTAAAGAACTTATTCTCTCCTAATACTTACACAACATATGGCTTAATTATTTTCAGCATCTCAGGGAAAAGGCAGTCAATCTTACGTTTAAAATTATCACATGCAAATTTTAACACCGGTCCTGAGCTGCAGATAAATCATTTTAATTACACAGAAGTATCAGTGAAGTGATTGTTTCTCAGAGATAAGGTGACCTTATCCACATGTAAATATATACAGTTGCTAAGGTACTCTTCTGTTTAAGTCCTACCTTTTAGAATAAACTAATTTTCTGGAAGCCCCATTGGCTTCTTCAGAAATCTAATTTAAGATTAACTGCTGACCTTTTCTAGTCTCAATTAAAACATCATGAATTTACATCTTGTATCTTGCTACCAGTTGACAATTTCTCTAGAAAGTTCAGCAAGCCATACCACTTTGTGAACCAAATGCTAATCAAACAGCACATTGTCAGACAATTGCCAATACACTTTCATTTATTCATTCACTCTATAATTTCAGTAATGTTCAAGCTACCGGAGTCATTTAACCTGAACTGAGTGGGAAAAAATTGGACAGAAAATTTAATCTGTTATACCTGTCAGTTTAGGAATCTTGAGTATTTTTATACTTGCTATTCTTGTTCAGTCAAAAGACAGATGGTTTTGGACATTACGGTTAATTTCAAAAATCAGTATTACCAAGTCTTCTTTACAAAAAAGGACCAAATGGAAATAACCTGCCTCCTTGTGACTGCTAAACCTGACAGCCCTGAAAAATTACTAATGTTGAGGAATACGGTCAATTTGTAAAACAAAACCCATTTATTTCACAAAGATTAACTTAAAATCACAGAAAACCCATACACTGACCAGATCAAAAACATTCCTTATTGCATTATCTAATTCATAACACTAGTGAATGAAAATTAGTATAAAAAACAGTGAATAGATTATCCCCCTACAATGAGGTAGTCAAAATATCAGAGGAAAATAATCTTGTACCCTAAATCCTATGCTACTCTGAACAGCCTAAATAATTTAACAGCCTATGTAAAGACTGCATAATACCTCACTATGATGTAGGAAGATCACAGTTTATATACAGGTCAAGAACTACCTTCTGTAGCCCAGCACCCAGCAACTGTGGCACTGAACGGGTGCCAGGAGGACATGGACAGGTATCATCTTGTAAGAGACCACGAGCAGTCATCAGTTTCTTTGAAAGTGATCCAAAAAATAAACCGCTGACATTTCCCTTCCCCAAAGAAAACCAAGCATTTTATACTTGACAGTAAATACACCCCCAACATCATAACAACTTTTGTTCTCAGCAGTGCATGCTTATAAAAGAGAAATATCTTCTATCACTACAGGTTTATCCATTCAGACCAAGACTGGAGCTATTTGATTGCCTCAGATTTTTTTTTTATGGTGCTGCTTTTGAAATGGCATCTGCTCATTGGAGTGAGGATATCCATCTCCAGGGCTGTAAATTCAACAGTTTTCACTGGCACTAAACATATATAGGTGGCAAATACCAGCTCTGTCATACTTTGGATTCCAGGACAGATGGATACCATTCAAGATGTGTTTAAAGTTAGACAGACACCTTTGGGCAAACAATTTCTGTTACTCAACGCTATGGGGCACCGACACACCGCTACGGAAGAGGCAAACTGAAAAACTAGAAATGCCTGTCTAAAACATACAGTGGAAATTGGAGGCGCATAAATATTAAAGTTAAAATCTGTCATGATGACTAGTTTATGCGTACATTTGTGTGCAAAAGTCAGGCTACTCCTTGACAGGGGCAAGTTCTTTTGGACCCTAACTTCACCTCTTGTGTATGAACTGATTTTTCTAATCTGAATGGATTTTAGTCAACTAAATCAAGTCCTAGCCACCTCGTGTTAGAATGTGGACATTTCCTTTGAAAATGAAAGTAAAAGGCCTAAATAATGATTTACCAAAGGACTTTTCTGTAACAAAAGAGGTACTTAGCTTTGCAAATAGTTTGTACAAAACGGTTAAAATATGTTCCATTTCTTATAATGTCATACTGCTCCTCACACAGTTTTATCACAGCACTTTGCAAAGATACACATAATGGTTGAAGAACATATCACAAAAGGATTGATAAATTACTTTTTTTTTTTAATTAGGAAGCTAATTCAATTGCTCTATTATTTCCCTCTTTCTTTTTTCTTAACATTAATTGCAAATGTTGTTAGGTAATTAGATCACTCAACCTGGTCCAAAACCCGAATAGATTTATAAATACAAATAACATAGCAGAAAGAAAAGACTGTTGTCCCTTTTACAGAGATACAGATTACTACTTCATTTTATCACTCCAGGAGTAAATGGTTGGAGGCCTAAACAAAAGCTTAAAAATTCTGGAGATAGTGTAATTTTAAAGTATCATACCATCACATTTGGCTACACACCATACTGCTTCTTTTTTACTTATGCAATGCATAGGTATTACTTGAGAATACAATATAAAAGGAGTGTATATTGATTCTGCTTAGACACTGGGAGGTGTCTGAACAACCATTGCAAGAAAGATTGTAGAAAACAGCTCAAGTGCTCAGTCTACCCTTCTTACTAAAAGAACACAAGAGGCAAGAAGCTTTTTTAAACAGCATAGGAGGCCCAGGACCATAACACAATCTATTTCCAGAAAAATTGCATTCAGTCAGTTGGTTAAGCTACATATATATATCGTGAAGTCGGTGCTCATGTTACTACCGGGCGACGGAACAGAGTTCCCCCTAGACCAACAGCTGAGCTAATTCCCAAAGCTGAAGAGCAAGTGCTATTTACCCCAGCTCCAGTAAAAGTCACATGTCATTATGCCGCTGTTGCAACATAAACTACTGTCTTGGCACACCACTGAGCTGAGAAGACATATTAGCTTCTTCGCAGCCGGATCACTCTCTAACGAAAGGCTACAGTCTTCCAGGTATGCTTGTCCACCACCTACCACTAGAGTGTTATGTCTACAGTTAGCAGAAATTCCCAATTAAGAAGTTATAGCCTGAAAGTTGTGAGTCGTGGGATACCTCTACAGGCACAAAACATAATCATCAGCATGTGAAAGGAGCGGTAAATAGATACAGTTGAGATTTTTTTCAACAAAATGGGGAAAGGTACTTTGTACATACTGAATTGTTCAAAAAGAAGGGTCTACTTTACTCAGTTCCTATGTAAAAATAACCAGAGAACAAATCTGAGCTTCTCTTAGGTTGCTCTTTCTGGAGTTGCACAATTAAAAAGTCTCTCTATGCCAGGTCTAAACGGCTTTTTGCTTCAAAAAGTACATTAATTAACATAGGTTCAGAAAAGAAAAACCAAAACACAGTGATAGGAGTGCAGCTTGAGAATAAAATGATCACAGAGAACAGAGTCCTGACAAAAGAACACAGCTATGTGAATTTAAAATCCTGCATCTTGGTCAGTATACCATAATGCAATATGACTATTAATTTTTGTTCCTGTCTGCATTGGGTATCAAAGAATATATATATCCACCTACATTCATTTTAACGTTCTCATTCCTAATCCATGTGAGTTAAAACACATTGATAACTGCAGCACTAAAAAACCTAATTTCTGATTTTTCTGTCACCTGCATCTAATGCTGCCATTCAACGATGGGATGCTTCTAAATGTTATGACCCATTAAAATGAAGCAAGAATTCAATAAGCTGCACAAGATTAGTTTTGGTAATATTGTTGATGCTAAATGCGTAACAATAAACACATTACTAAATGAAACAGATTGTAATCTTGCACTAAATGAAGGCATTATGAACCAGGCTTATTCCCTTTCGTTAAAAATGCAATCAAATGCTTTTCAAATTTATCTGCTAGAGAAAACACATTCAAGACTCATTTAATTAACAATGATAAAACTTTCTTCTTCCAATAATTTAAAGCAAAGTTGAAACAATATAACATTAGGCCATAATTCATTTTGGATAGCTTAGGTCAACAATATTAAATAGATACCATAAAGGAAAGGGATTAAAGAGCTCAACTATAAAGGAAGCCTCATTATACCAAGCCCTTAATGTTAACCTAAAACTTGAAACTACAGTGTGAGAGAATGGAAAGGGGAAAGAAAACTAACTTCATTCAAACATGAAATAATAAATGCTAGGTAGTACTTTGAATAACTAGGAGTTATGTTTCTTTGAAAGGAACAGTACTCCAGCAGTCAGTCCTTTCCAGGACTTGGTAGCTTTCAAGAATGTACTTGAAATAAATTTCTCATTGATTCTGAAAAACACTTTATCAAAACTAATACTTTCTACCTAAGCGTATTTTAATATTGATATATTTATTACACAATGCAAAGATGGGTATCTATCCAATGACTACTCTGTATAAAAATTAAAAATTAAGTATGATCAATAAAAATGTAAAGTAAAATTTCCTGCAAATTTTATATTCCCTGCTGGAAGTAGCTTGTTTTATTACCTTAGCTGTAGTATGGGCTTCATGTGTCCCTGGGTGGAGTCTACCTGAAAGTACCACCCGAATGAGTCGTTGAGTGTACCTGCCCGGCTCTAACTGTCAAGATTAATTCAGTACGAGCCAGAAAACACTAAGAAGCAACAGATGAACTTTGTCATGAAACTGTGGCTAACTTCACATTTTTGTAACACATTTAGGCAGGAGACCAGAGGGTATCAGAAATCCCAGTGACAAATGCTGCCAGTTGGTATGGAGAAAGACTGGGCGATTCGCCTGGCGCGACGCGATTAAAGAGGCCATTGGCAGCTTGTGCTGACAATTTCATCTGGAGTGTAAAAGAATGTTAAGAAATAGCTCCTCAGGGGACATCCAACCCCATGCAGAAGGCTAAGGCTGAGGTGCAAACGCTGCAGGCAGGGGCTAGGGCTGCTCCATCAGGCAGAGCCTGGATGCATCTTGTCCCCCTGGGTTCATGGTGCCCGTCTAAGCTGGCCTGGAGGGGACAGAGCCCTGTCTGGTGCATGAGGCGCACGTCCACGTGGCAGAAATAAAAGACTAGCAAAGAAACTGCTATCTCTTCTGTATACCCATTGTGCTTAGAAAACAGATTTTTAGATCTTATGCCACTGGATGCCGTGGTTCTGTTCTTGCGCTCACCCTACCCAGATCCCTCAAGACATCCCAAAACGGGACACTGTTTGTTATCCATATTATGCTAAAGCCGCAGCAGAGTAAAGCAGTGGGCTGCTATGCAGATAGCACTTCTTTCAAAAAACCAATTTAAATAAAAAATAAATCAAGAACAAGAAAGAAGGAAGGGACACAACATTCCAGGAAAATTATCCTAGTGCCTTTTAGAGATGACAGTAACAGAAAGTGCCTTTTAGGAAGAGAAGATGAGAGACTTTTGACAAATGAGTTACTGTGTCCTAAATGTATAGGAGCAAGGTACAGAAAAGGGCAAAGAAAAAGATATAGAAGGGTTTGACAGTGTACTTGCAAAGCTGGCAGACAGGAAGGTGCATTTTGATAAGCAGAACCAGACAAATTCACAGAAGATTTTGAAGAAAAACCCAAATCTGCCCGATAAGTGCCTTGGAAAATATCATAGAATTCTGGTCCCACTAAAACAACTGACCCATTTCATCCAGCTTCAATAAGGCTCATATTCAAACCTGCAATTTTCACGATGCTTTGTGTGGCATTTCCTCTACCAGGAGAGACAGTAAGTGCTTTGTTGTGCATCATAGTTAATATGCATTTGAGTTTGCCCTATTTTTTGAAGCGATGGTGGTGTTTGCTGATCATACACTTTTATGCAGCATTTCTGACAGCTGATTCCACACAGACATTACTTTCATTTTGTTGTGCTAGTCTCTTTTTATTTAGAAGCAAACAAATTAAAAGAACTTTAAGTTATGCAAATAAGAAAGACATTTGTTGCTTTGCCTTAATAAAGAAGACAGCAAAATCTTAATGTAAGAAAACCACCATTATTTTGCGCTGCTGAAGCTGTTTGCTGCCTTGTAGTACGCTGCAATTAGAATTAGTGAGAAAGATTTGCCCAGACCCCCAGAACAGGGTTTCTTTTACAGAACTGCAGCTTGCAAAGTTTAATACATTCAATTAATTAAATACATTCAAATTTAATTTGCTTAATTTACAAGTATATTTAGAAATGTTCTGATCTACCAAGTACCAAAATATTTTGATAATACCAAGGAAAGTAAGACATTTCAGAAAAAAATCTAAACTTACTTTTTAAATTGAAACATTATCATCTTTTTCCATTCTCTGAAAACTTTTTCCTCTTAAAATAGTCAAGGTTGTAGGGACAGTTCTTTTGTATGTGCTAATTTCCAAAAACTTTGGGAGCCTCAGGAGATGTGTAAGCTGCAGTTGAAAGCTGTTTGGACTAGAAATAGTATCACATTCTACAAACACACTAACGTGAATGACCAAGGACTTTACCAAGCAGACTTCAGAAATACTTCCCAACAGCTCCAGCTGTTGCAGATGAAGCTAACGCTACTCAGTATACTCACCAAAGACTGTCCTGGCAGGTACAGATTCTCTGTTCAGCCAGAATGACACTTGAGAGAGGATGACAGTCATGATACAGGGGAGGTAAGTCTGAATGACAAAATAACCAATTTTTCTCTTCAAGTGAAAATGAGCCGTCATTACTGTGTATTCACCTAAGGTGCCACAAACAAACAAAACACAATGAAACAAAAGGTTATGATCTTAAGAAAGCCCATTTCTTTGGTAAAAGAAAGTTTGGTACATTTATGAGAACCAAATGTGCTAGGGTTAAACCGCACAGAATATATTTTGTAATAGAAAGCATCCTACAGAATATAAGAAAGTTTTTGAGTACAACTACATCTTATTCCCACCGAGCTCCAGGATAGATTAGTGTTCAGGAACTTACAGGAACTGTTGTATGCCCTGACTAGAACTTCAGTCCCACAGGCTTCTGTGCATAAGCAACTCCCTGCCTTCACTCAAAAGTATCCTGGGAACTTAGTCTACAGTCAGAATCATGGGGGTCTATCACACATAGGAACACAGTCTAGAGTCAGGTAGAATAACCCAGTATTTATGGATAAGCCAATAACATAATAGAAGGAAAAAAATGGTTGAAACCAGCATACTTCACCATTTAGTAGGAAAAAAGTGTCATTTATCGTATGAATTATCTGAGTCTTGGGTTACAAACATTAGAATTCAAGACTGAGCTCCAGACAGCACTAAAAAAAGCAGTCACTGCAGAGAAGTTCACCTACGCTATCGCCAGTTACTTCTTAACTTGAAAGAAACCAGTAAAGTGCTGCTATGTGTTACCTGTACATTAACAAACTCTGCCTAATATCTCACATTTTGCAAGTTTTTTTCAGTAGCCTTCTAACACCACCAGCAATGCCTATGTTACTCAGAGCCGAGTGAGTGCCTTTTTTTTTTTTTTCAAAATATCTTTTACTAACCTGTACTTGATTTAACTGTCTCTTTTCCAATTGTTTGGCCTAAAAGATCATACTGATTCAATCTTGAACCATCTGGTGCCACCTGCACTGAATCTGAAGCATTGTAAGTCCAAATGTATGTCACTTCTGAAGTTGTGTATGCATCTGTGGGAAATAAGATAAAATATTTTGTCAGCAATTTAAATTAAACACCTTCCATCAAAACTCGTAGAATTAGGACAGCTACTTACTTGGGTTTTAAAAAAAAAACAAAAAAACACCCCAAAAACCTAAAGTGATGTGGTAAAAAAATATGTTTGGCAATATAAAATAGCTTTACTGTAGGGTAAATGCTTTTTCCAGCATGGGAACAAGGCACTCATTTGGGATCTTATTAACCACAATTTATTGCTATTAAATGACAAACGTCTTTTCTCTACTGTTAAAAAACTGGTCAGAGATTAGTTATTATATGTATCCTAAAACTCATGGTAAGCCAGATGAAGAGAACAGCAATTTGCAACATTTAGGAAACACAACATTTTTGAAAATTCATTCCTATATTGTTCTGACTTTCCATTGTCCCCACTCTCCACTTTGGGAGTGTATCACAAGCATTTTATTATTAGCTGAAATTCACACCTAAGTACGGGACGCCATGTTCAGTGACAATGCCCTTAACAAACGTGTAGTGGCTCTGTATCTTGCCCTGTGTACCCTCTTAAAGTTCACTCCTTATCACGGCATCTTTTGGTGGGACAGGCTGACACTAAGCAGACTGCTCTCTCAGTGCATTCATGACCAAACACACATTTAGCCTAAGGTCTGCCAAAATAAACTAGAATGAAAGCAAATCAACACTGTGCTTTAGATAGCGTTAATGCCTCTCTAGTAAGTAAGAAAAAAAAAAAAAAAATTGAGTATGTCCTGCAAGTTTTTCCAGTCTAATACTCTTCTAACCAAATGGAGTATGAAAGGAAAAGGGTAAACCACTGATGGAAGAAATTGTGTGTTCATTTTGATTGATTGAGACAAGCACATTTTAAGTCTTATACCATAACTGTAGCGAAGTGAAAAAGAAAAGCAACATTTCTGTTGGGCTGCAAACATTTTCACTCGCATAATCTCTGGAGGCCCAGAAAAAAGCTCCTTCATGCAACTAGCCATGAATTGGAAGACCAACAAAATCTAGCAGGTGGGTAGCATGTAGAAGCTTTTAACACTTGCCTTCTACCTTTCCAGCTTCCCACAAGAAGACCTCTGCTGCAATGCAAACCAGCAGTACTGCCAACTGCTGATTTGTCCCCATCATCCCCACTGTCACCTAGACTTTCTGACAAGGATAAAGAAAGGCAATATACTAAGCTACAGCTTCTCCAATACATTCAGTTTGGCTTTTCTCTTGCGTATAACAAAAAAACTGAGACATTCGTACAGGCCAATGATCCTCCTAGTAATGTAAGGTTAGCAGTGTATGAAGAGCTGTGACAAATACATACCACTGGGATACTTGCCTCAGCTAAACCAAAATCCTCAGGATTCCTGCTTATTTTCACCACTATTCATCACTCAAATTCTATCCCAGAACAAAAGCCGAATAATGCACAGTAGTCTAGAAATGAGTTCTAGGTAAAGAAATAAAATGAGTGCCGAGCCGTTCAAAATGAACAGAAATCAGATTCCCCTGGATGTGCCAACAGGCTGGAGCACAGGTGACTACGGGGGAAATGAAAGACAGCTTTTCTAAAATTGCATTGCTCACAGTTTGAATTCTCCTGTTTACTAGAAAGCCAGAAACGATGGACAGAGAATAAAGAACAAATTAGAAAGGGGAAAAAAAAAAAACCTCAACACAAAAAAACAACTAAAACCCCCAAACCAACAACAAAGCAAATGAAAGGAAAAAAAAAAAAAAGGGAAAATGAAAGAAATTGTTCACACAATGTCTAATATACCTAGTCAGAAGGCTTTCCAATTTAGGAATGCAAATGAAGCCATATTATAAAGTAGCCTCTTGGCCTGAGTAGCAGTTTCATTATTACAGGGTTTTTTTCAGTTGTTTGGAGCCTACATATGAGTCTTTTTCCCCCCTGGACACCTTATAGATCACACATACCTTACTGTGCACATATATGTGAATATTATTAGTCAGTAGCTGATTTCAGCTAACATCTCTGGTGTTAGTTAGTTTAGCTGTATTATGTATTTTTAATATAACATTTAAGGGGCAAAAAAGGCTCTATGATACAAATATTATTAATTCTAATGATCTTTTGTCTCCATAGCTAAGATTTCCCTCTACTGTGGAAATATCATCAGAAACACAGGATTGGTTTAGTTTGCTCCAAACTCCAAGGAAAGGGGACATGTCAGGGTTATGGAGAGAGTATGCACAGAGCTCTCATCTGGTTACTGATGTCTTTAATGGCAGCATATCACTTGTTTTGTAACCTGCAATTAATGTAAAATTAGCCAAAATTTAAAGGTATTAACCAAATTTCTCAAAAACAAAAATTCCACTTCCAGCAGAGAATGTAAGCTGTAGCCAAAGAGAAAAAGAAAACTCTTTAGTGTACAAAATCCAGGAAATACAAATAATGTGATCCTAATTCAAGAAGAAGAAGAAGAAAGGCTGTAATATAGGCAAATGAAGTTACGCTGCTATTAAAATAATGCTAGTGAGATCAAAGTCCACCTATCTAGCATGGAGATGCACTAACGACTGAAATTTATCACAAGAAGCCATTTGTTGCTGCCTTCATTGACCAGGAATGTAAAACAAATATCATTAACAATAAAGATAAAATAAATGTTTCAATAAATGAAAATAAACATTCTTTGAAGTCTTTAACCTGCTCTTCATTAATACACCACACACATTCTACTCAGGCTACGTGGAGCCAGGTCTGCGTTCATCGCTATGGTTTGTGAGCTGGAATAAAAGTAGATCGACGCAGAGCTGTATTAGATGCATAGTGTTTATTGCTAACTGATGTCAAGAAAGCTTTAAAATATGTTCAAAAATGCAAGACTGAATAGAGAAATGAGACGTCAGTGTGTCAGGTTACAGATTTTAAATTTTTAAAAACACCATCTCCTGTTTTAAACTTCTCATATAACAACTGGTTGAAACAAAGCGATGCTGAGCACTGTTAGATATTCACTAACCAAAGGCTATAGTTCCTGTCATATACTTACAGCTGCCAAATTTCAGTGGGCATGAGTGAGCATCCATAGGGAAGTCCTCCAAGTGCATAGGACATTCAGCTTGGACTGTAAGCCTAAAAGGCAAAAGACCATTATGCATTTAAGTCAGTTAGCAGGACAAGAAAATCAATTCCACAGAAATGAACAGAGTTCATGCTGATTTGGGAGATGAAACTGAAACGTTATATTAAACTAATTAAAATTTAAATCAGCTCTTGCTTCTTCCCTTTTATGTGTTCCTTTGGAAAGCATTGACTTATCACATCAAAAACCTGAAAGAGCTGACCTCAAAACTATGAGGAAAGGCCATTTAAATGAAAATATAAATTATGTAACTGCAGGTTGTTAAGAACAGTCATTTTCTTCTCATAATATTCTGAGGTACATGCGTGATTATATGGCTCTCAAAGGCTCATTACAAAAGCACATAAAATACAGTTAATTTGCCAAAGGACTGTGCTCCATAGTTTTCTGAATTTACTTTTTTTTTAAAGTTTGAATGGAAGATGTAAAAAAATAAAAATAAAAAATTTGTGGTCTTTCGAAAGATTGCTGTTACTCATTCTCCATGTTATTTTTGATTATTATTTTTATTACCCTGTAAGTCTCCTCTGAATGGAGATTTTTTTCTGGATGTCTCCATTCTTCTTCATTCAGCCCCAAACATCAGCCATATCCTCGTGTACTCTCAGTAGTTCATAGTCATTGCATTTCCCACTATGTTCTCCCACCCTTCCACCCAAAAATATTCCATATTTGTATTCCCCTTCTCCCCAGGAAAGTGTTTCTGAAGTCAAGGGGCAGAGAGAGAGAAGAGTCAGCAAACAGCTGAAGGCAAAGGAAAGAACTGCATGAGCCCCAATATAAATCACACTATCATTTTAAATAGATGCAGATTAAAAATGGGGTTTTTTAAATCTAGACATCAAGTTTACACATTAATCTTATACCCTCAGAAGCAACAAACTTACAAGTCACGAACTTATGAGCAAGTCAAGAAAATGCTTAGTTAATTCTAGATGACATGACCCATCTTATGTTTTAAAAAAAAATTCTTCATAATGGTTTCAAACAGCATTTTTTATTATTTATAGCATATCATTATAATACCTTCTGGAGGGAGAGAACATCAGCCAGTTTATACAGATACAAGTTCAAATATTGATTTCAGCCCAAGCAAAAATACTTTAAACGGGGGTCTCTATTTCCAGCAAACTTTTCTGAACCTGTCTAACCACCACATCATTCAACGTCATTAGCGGTCTACCCATCAACACTCAATACTAAAAGGGTTTGGGTGTTGTATATTAAATCAGGTGTAAGGGATGCTGGTATGGCTGCATGGAAAAAATCGCGCAGTACTTGTTTGCTTTACAGCGCACATTTTATATCTTATGTCGGCCAGGGATTTTAAGTTTACATTCACAACAAATATAATGTATTAAATATTTTCAAAGAAAAAGGAAGAAACTAAGTCAGTGGTTTCTGGAAATTTGGATAAATTTTCCATAAAACTCATACAGGTAACATTATTGCGAAAGGAGTAATCAAAGAAGAAATCAGTCTTATAAAATGCTATACATGATATTTATAATTTTTCATAAATTATTTTCCAAGCAAGTTTAATATATTTTACCAGCTAAATGTTTATCTTATCTGCTAATCATGCACAGGATGCAAAAATTAAAACTGTAAGTAAAATATTGTAATTAGATATAAAGAAACAGTTATTACAGGGTAAGACATATTTTCCCTGTAGTTCCTGCTGGAGAAAATTGGAGCCCTTATTAAGCCTTTATTCTTCCTCTTTATTTTTTATTGCCACTGATTTTAATAGTAAATTTGCTTAAGGGCTTACATGGTCAGTACTATGGGTGCAATACCAGGAAAAAGTCATACACTATTTTAATTGTTCTAAGATGGAGTTGGTAAACTTTGAGTAATTTTAAGAATTCTTACACAGTGATTCCCATCTGAAGGTCTAAGAGCACTTTATGCAGGTGGTCAGTATCTTCTAATACATTAGAGAGGTAGGAAACCAGAGGAACATGATCTAAGTCCTAATTAGGCAACAGACCTTCAACAGACCTGGAAACAAAACGTACATTTTGCTAGCTTTCTGCCAGGACAGAAATGAAACAAAGGAGAGTCCTCTTGGAAAACTTTATTTAATTGTAATCTGGAAAAATCACCTTGAGAAATAGCTTGAGTAGAGAACAGATGAAAAAACTTACCTCATGGTGTACAAGAGAGTCCCATCATCCTGGATTCGTAGAAGCTTGTTCGGCATTGTCATGTTATGAGCCACTGACTTCTTCCCATTGTGAAAAAATGTATCTGGGGTCCAGATTTTGCTGGCCATTAAGTTGTTCAATCGAAGAATGTTCATTGGGCCCTTAAACTTCAATCTCTCATCCTTCCATCTCTGACGGAAGAAAACATCTATTGTGTATTCCTGTAATGAAATAAAGATAGGCTTTTTTTGACACAATGCAACATTAATCTGCTTTTTGAGGGCCAAAACAGAAAAGCTCTGGTTGCAAAAATTCCCTTGGTAAAATTGTCAAGGGAGAACAACCATCACACAAAATTGTGTAAAACTGAGAATAATAAACAGGAAGTCAATTTATTGAGGGTATGACATGACTTCTTCTTGACTGCTAGATGTTGTTTGTATATCGAACCCTTCCAATATTTAGATTTCAAGGGTAATTTCAATAAACACACCGATTTTGCATTAAGTAAGAAAAAAATACACAGAAGGATATTACATAGTTTGTGCAGCAGATGCACCCAAAGGAGAGTAATCCAGCATTTCAAGAGCACAGAGAATGGCTGAGACTGCAAAGAAGGCAACAAGGCCACTCATAAAGGGTACAATACATCCATGCAGACCGATAGAAGGAAGATTTTTCCAAAGGGTAAAGTAAGGCTGTTTGGATTTTATTAACAAAAGTACATAGGTAGGGAACGATAGCTGATGATTAACAGGTGACACACACTGTCTGCTGAACTCCGCTCTGACGCCTAATCTTGGGAAGGAACTACAGTCTGGAGAAAAGGATGCAGGCGAAAACAGACTGATGACCTAGACCAGATGCCTGCACCACCCAGGGCTGGGTATCCCATCTGCTGGGTTTTGTTGCTGTTCTAAACAAACAACAACAACAAAAAACATACTGATTAAACGTTGATAATGTAAATTCATCAACTAACTTCAAAATGGATCTGTAAACGGATTTAGCGGTTTGCTGCTGTCAGCACAGCATATAGATTGGAAATGGGAGAACTTAAAAACTTTGTAGGAAGCAAACTGTATTCTGTGTATTGGTAAGTGCTACCTTGGTGCCATTTCAGTTTTGTTGGACAGGTGCAAAATGGATCCATGATTTCAAAACATTAGTATGTTACAACAGTCGGCACTATTGTAATTATTCTCCAACTGCTAGAGTTTATGTAAACCATTTTCGAGCAAATTATCTCTGAAGGGACAAGTCCTGATAAAATTCAACCAATATAAAATATTCAAGTGATTTCAACGTAAAAGTGATTTCAAGGAACTTATCAGCCCGCATGACTTCATGCTGGCTTCCTTTTGTGCTGATTAACAAGGCCTAAGATTTTTCTCTCTCAGTCATACGGTGGTAGAAAAGGAGTGCTGAGTAGACAGCGAGAAGCAACAGGGTCTTCTCAGTTCCTTCAGTCTGTGAGCCAAGGACCTGTGAGGATCTTTTCCAGGTAAGGGCCAGAGGCTAAGATGAGCATGTGGAATGAAGGAAAGAGAATTCTGTTACCTGGAGGAGCGTGGCAGGGGCAGGAGAGGAAGCAGTTGTCATTACAAACTGTAACAGGAGCTTGGGGAGATCTTTTAGGAATGGGGTACATATAAACTAAATTGACAAGAACCACAAGCACAACATTTAGCTATATCAAGAGGTCTTACATTGTTAGAATACATTTTTGTTAATTTTTCTAATTAAAATTATAGTTAGTCAAACAAATACTAAATAAAACTAACACGATAGTACATTGAAAATCAATTTGCTTGGGTTTCTTTAACGCCAGTTGCTATAATTTCTAATAATATTTTAGTAAATATATCTGTGAAACACAAAATTATGCACTTCTAAAACCTGTAGTTCTTTAACATTATACCTGAGCTTTTACTGTCATCCCTGCCAGAGATACTGCCTCATGACAAGTAATATGCCCATTTCCCTATGACAGATCACATTCAATTGTCCTGTTTTATTTGCTGATTTATATGTTGTTTTATTTGCTAAATATCATGTGACTTAAAATCCCATTTACAAATTCCAAGTATTCTACCAGTTCAGCTGCAGACCTGGGAAACTCACAAAACGTGTAATATCATGGAGGGGCAGGAGCAGCAGGAACAGTGTGCTTGAAGCAGGGGGAATATATGAAATCTGGCTAGAAATGCCAGACAATTCAAGGAAAACAATTGCCTTAAAAGCCTCCTTGTGGTTTCTGTCGGAGGGGATTTGCCAATAAATCATTGCTATGTATAATAAGATTGATGTTTGAGGAATAAACCTTTGAGGGACCTGGACAGGCTTGAGAGGTGGGCCCATGCAAACCTCATGAAGTTCAACAAGGCCAAGTGCAAGGTCCTGCACGTGGGCTGGTGCAATCCCAGGCACAAATACAGGCTGGGCAGAGAATGGATTGAGAGCAGCCCTGAAGAGAAGGACTTGGGGGTGTTGGTTCACAAGAAGCTCAACATGAGCTGGCAATGTGCACTTACAGCCCAGAAGGCCAACCACATCCTGGGCTGGATCAAAAGCAGCGTGGTCAGCAGATCAAGGGAGGTGATTCTGCCCCTCTACTCCACTCTTGTGAGATCCCACCTGGAGTACTGCATCCAGCTCTGGAGCCCCCGACATAAGAAGGACATGGACCTGTTGGAGCAGGTCCAGAGGAGGGCCATGAAGATGATCAGAGGGCTGGAGCACCTCTTCTATGAAGATAGGATGAGAGAGTTGGGGTTGTTCAGACCAGAGAAGAGGACACTCCGGAGAGACTTTATAGCAGCCTTCCAGTACTGAAAGAGGCCCTACAGGAAAGATGGGGAGGGACTCTTTATTAGGGAGCGTAGCAATAAGACAAGGGGTAACGGTTTTAAACTGGAAGAGGGGAGATATAGATTAGATATTAGGAAGAAATTCTTTACTGTGAGGGTGGTGAGACACTGGACCAGGTTGCCCAGAGAAGTTGTGGATGCCCTATCCCTGGAGGTGTTCAAGGCCAGGCTGGATGGGGCTTTGAGCAACCTGGTCTGGTGGGTGGTGTCCCTGCCTATGGCAGGGGGGTTGGAACTCGATGATCTTTAAGGTCCCTTCCAGCCTAAACCATTCTATGATTCTGTGACAAAAAAATGGAAAGAAGAGCCTGAGAGAGTAAGACTTCGAAATCCCACTGAAGTTCAACAGAAGTGAGTGTTATGTCCTGCAGGTTCCTTTGAAAAATATCCCTGCACATAAATTATTAGAATATAAATCTTAACATTTTGTAATATTTCCATCAATAAAGAATTTCAAAGGTCCTGCTTCTTCACCGTCTTCCAACATATAGAAAGAATTACAAGAGATATAAAGTAGAAAAAAAGCAGACATGAAATGCCACTGTATCAAAACAGCAACATTTCAAATACCACATCTGATGCATGGCAACTGCTTAGGAAGCAGAATAAGCAGCAGAGAATCAGAGCTGCAGCCTTGAAAGATCCCACTGATAAATCTCTGACTGATCCACAGGTAATTCTAATCTCTCTATCCAATCCATGCTGGAAATCTCTATTTGCAGAACATCCCATTTAGAAGATGGAAACAGGGAATAAACCAATGTTTGGTATGAACAATCACGAACACCTTCTCCTTCCATTTACCACAACAGTAATACAATCTCACATAATTCTTAAATAACATCTTTCTACAGACTTCAATGCATTTTTCAAAGGAAGTATTGGGATCACAATTTTGTATGAAGGGAAACCAAGGCACAAAGTTTAAATTAACCCTTCCCGACCCATTTACAGAGTGATTATGAAAAGCAAAATACAATCCATGCCTTTTGCATCCCAGTGCTATATTCACTGATCCCACATTCCCCCCGAGACAAATCTATTCTACTTATGATCATGAATATCCCTATGATGATTACCATACAAAACAAAGTAAAAAACAGGAAACTATTAAAGTATTTTGAATATAATCAATGTGATAAAAAGCCAGCATTTATCAAAAGATGCTACATAAAGATTTTGTAACTTTTTCCTATTCCACATATGTACCGCTTTGTGGTAAATGCTGTATAAGGTCTACTTCCAAGCAAGACTAACATTCTGTTAGAAGCGCAAATCTGGACTCTAGGAAAAGAGACTCAAATTAATACCTGATAAACTTCATACAATCTGCAGATATTCTCCTATATGAAAAAAATGTTGCTGTTTCTGGACCAAACCTCTCTCCAGTGCATAGTGCAGTATCTCCACAAAATCACAAGAGCATTCTTCCAGGACTACAAAGGACTCCTGTGATCATTTCTAGGCAAGCAAATGCTTCCTACTGATTTGTGTCTGGAACGGGGCTTTCACAGCTGGACTCATGGCACAATTAAACATAATCTTTCAAATTTATATTATACCAGCTCACATGAAATTTTAGGTACAGATGATGAGATTCTTACTACAGTCTTAAGAAGCACTTGAGCCTCTGCCTGTTCAATGGTCAGAAGAATAAAATGGTGAAGGAATTTCATTCTTCTTTTAACATGCAGTTGTTGTGCATAACAGTATGCACAGTAAAAAAAAATGCAATTAGTATCTCTAGAAGCTTTAACTGACCTGAGTGTATGCAATCCCTCCTCACTACACATCAGTCTTCTTTTTTGCTAAGACCAGATTTGTACCGGAAACGTTCAAACAACAGAAAATGTACTCTCATCCTCTTAGCTAATGGTTGGCAAATTTTGGCAGTCTTTGCATGTGGAGTAAAGATGGAAGTGTTCCAAACATCTCAAAAATTGTGATTGTCCATTAGCAAGCAGTATGGTCATGGAGCAGACTGAACATTTTATTAATCACTCTCTGGAACACAGGATTTTGTTTAGTGAATAGTTCAGGCCAGAGTTTCTCATTCCCTACTTGTAAAGATTTTTCTCAGTCAATTCTCTAAAAATAGTTTGGTTTTCTCGTGACAACTCTTAAAGCCATTAACCGACACACATATATAACCATGAAAGCAAGTATTAAATTCTGTAAAATATAAAAAATTAAAAAGGCAAATATAAAAAATTGAAAATATGGAAAAGCAAAATGGCACTCATCTTTTTAATGACTCCTTAAAGACAGTGGTTGATACCTTGACAAGATAAACATATAAGATTCATGGACCTAAATCTCACCTAGTTAATATAGGGGCTTCATATTAATGT